TTTGTGAAGAAAATTACATACTGTTAAGTGTGTTGCAGAAGAGTAGGCAAACTTTGGGACATATCCATATATGAACAAGTGTTCAAGTCACTTTCATCGAAGCAAGATGGCGGTGTACCTTAATTCATTTCACAAAAATACAGCAAGGTTCTTAAACATATACTTTTAGAAAATGAAGAACAAAGAAATGTGCATCATGTGTTTTGCTTTTTTATGGTTTTAATTAATTTATAAAGCCACTGTAAACTTTAGATTTACATATTATATTGTTGTAATTTAATTAGTTCTGGGCAACGATTAATCGCAGCCAAAATAAAGGTCTGTGTTTACACAATATGTGTGTGTGCACTGTGTATAATTATATAAATACACACATATGCATGTGTCACGGTGTGGGTTTTGTGTTTTGTTCCTTGTTGTTGTCTGTCATGTGTTTCCCTGTCTTTTCATGTTCAGCTGTTCCTTGTTTTGTTGATTAGTTTCCCCATGTGTTTCTGATTAGCCACGCCCCTTGTTATCTTGTTTAGCTTGTTTGCCTGTGTATTTATACCCTTGTTCTTCAGTTGGTGTTTGTCGGTCGTTGTTTGATGTTGTGATGTTCCTAGTACTGTGTGTACCTTGTTCTGAGTTTACCCTGAATTACTTGTTTGTTGGATTATTAAAGTGCTTGCGATTGGATTCACTCTCTGCTTCGTCCTTGCCGCATCGTAACCGCATGTATATATGGTGTATGTATATATATATTTATGCATCATTTATATTATACTGTATATAAATATTTCATATATAAATAAAAATTCTATGCATATGTGTGTATTTATATATACAAAATAATTATACTCAGTAGTACACACACACATATGTTATGTAAACACAAACTTTTATTTTGGATGCGATTAATCGTTGCCAGCACAACTTTTAATGCTATCATATTTTGTGCTGGCAATTAGTTTAGCTTAAATAGAAAAGCCTGACAATATCACTGCTAAATACCTTTAAGTATTGTTATATGTTGCCACGTTTCTCACTGACACGCCCCCAACTCGTTAAGATCGGGGCTTAAAGAAAATCCCGAGCTTCCCACTCGTAATAACGACATTATGATTGCGTTCACTACTTTGTCACACTGCGTCTTAACCGGACAGTTCTGTCACTTATGCTGCGTTCCAGGCAGTTTTTTGAGCACGTAAATCACGACTTCAAACTACAGCCCCGTTCACACCGCCAGCGATTTTGTCGCTACATGTCGCTTGTCTCTGTACTGTGAAGTCGCTTGTGGGCGTTCGTAGTGCGCATAGGTAGTGCGTCGCTCTAATGTTATTGGTTGACTGCACGTCTGGCCATATTTCTATACAAAATACCGTCAGAAGTGACATATACAACTATATCATTTTAATTTGACTAGGAATTAGGCTAAAAAAAAACAGTATGCTGTTGGGAGAGTGTTTTTATATTACCACAGCAGTGTTCAGTGGATTAAATCATTTACTAGATTAACGATCGATCAATCAACAAATTAAACTCACTCATTCTGTCATAAATTTCTAAAACGTCATTCGAATTTGACAAATAATTAATTTTCTTGTTCCTAATAATAGTCAACATAATGCAGGGGAAACTGTAAAATGATCTGCTGCAGCAGTGCTAAACTTGCATCATAAAATTACAACACTCGAACTATATGTATATGAATTAAACTCACTGTGACTGTCGACAGTTTCTTTTCCATTCGTCATTTTATTATATCCATGTATGTGCTTACAGTCAAATCATATAAAACAGTGAAATGAAATCTCCCTCAAACTCTTCTGTCTTGCCTGCACTCGAGACGGTGACGTAAGCTCCACTGAAAGTCTTCTTTCCTATTGGTTGTCGCTCGCGAAAATCGCTTCTCATGCATAAAGTTGAAATTTCTCAACTTTTGTCGCTTGTCTCTTGACACGCCCACATTCTGTCGCCAACGGTCGCTGTCGCGCGTGTCGCCGGATGTCGCCAGCGCTCCATTGAAATGAATGGGATCATGTCGCTTTGTCGCTGCGTGTCGCTGGCGGTGTAAAGCCCCGTTCACACTACACGCGACCAAGCGACGCGATACCATTCATTTCAATGGTGAGCGGGCGACTTCCGGCGACACGCGCGACAGCGACTGTTGGCGACTAGATGGGGCGTGTCTAGCGACGCGACAAAGTTGAGAAATTTTTAACTTTATGCAAATGAAGAGCGATTTTCGCGAGCGACAACCAATAGGAGTGGAGCGCACGTGATCCTTCTCCTCAGCCCCTGGGCCTGCAGTGATGGATGGCAAGAAAGCTGATTCGCTGTCTTTTGGATGTCATACTAGTCAACCAGTAGTGGGAACGCCCACTAGCGACCTCATCGCCAGCCCCTGGCGACTTGCAGCGACAAAGTCGCGTGTAGTGTGAACAAGCCAGTCACCCAAACTACCTGAGCGCAAGGAATTGTGGTAGCTATATGTAAACAAACCATTGCTGTTTTGTATGGTTTCGTGGGCTATGTGACGTCAGAGCTTGTAACTGGGAGTACATCGATCTAGTACGAGTTCACGGGTGGGAAGTCACGGGTTTGACTGCCGTTCCAGTGCACTTTCAAGGGTATAAGGTTGGAAAAACACGGGTTACAGGTTGCCTGGAACGCGGCATAAGTTACATGCATCCTATCATTGTTACTGGTAAAATCCTCCACATTCGATTTAATTTAAGTTACTACTGTTTTGGCGAGGAATATAGTAGAACATTGATCGTGGGTCTTTCATGCGGAGAGACTCCTCGTGTGTTTGCAATTTGCATAGTGATGCATTTAAAAGTTAATGACCAAACCAGATTTATTTGCCACATAATCTTGTCACAAAAAATCTTTAAAACTGTCATATTGAGAAGAAAGGCAGTTGATTTAGAACGTGTCCCACCCACTTTTCAGATAATTCCTATGCGTCTGCTTTATTATTACACTTACACACACACACACACACACCTTTTAACATGTTGATGGACACCTGATATTGAAACACAGATGTCATGCCAATTCAAGTAAACAGGTTGCTAAGTAACTGTCAAGGGACATTATTCACCAGATCAAGTGAAGTTTCTTTGTGTTTAAGCCTGATATAATTGTAGGTTTCCACTGAATGTAGCCTTAGCTTGACGCTTTATCCACTTCCTTCGTCCACATCCACTTGAATAAATACACAGGACAACTCGTGAAAAATATATCCATGAAAAATATATATATATGGTCATCAACAAAAACATCAGCACAGGAATATTACAGAAAATAAAAAACGACACAAAAGGGAAGCGAGAAAGAGAAAGAAAGGTAAAGGGGAAAAAAACGGCTTCACTCTCTGCTTGCCTGACTGTTCACACAGATAACTTCACTAACTCTCACTCACTAATTCTCGCGAGAGTATTCCCAGCACTTAAAGGTTTTTTTTACTTTTTTATTTTTTTATTGAACAATATCAATTTACAAAACCAAATAGGGAACAATATTACAAAATATACACTTTTCCAAACATATCTCCTTCCAACACTTAAAGGTGCATGCAGTTAAAGATAAAAATGCGATAACAATCCTCTATTCCCAATAAACCACCAATGTAATATAAATACACTCTAAATCATCCACACACATTTTAGATAATTACACAATTAACTCCTTGCATTACTGTAAATATTCCCATTAATTTTCTCCACATAAAATGAACCATGCAAATTACTGTTTAACGCATAAATTAAATTATTTATCAATTAACTGCATTTAGACTCCTACAATAATGTATTTATGATAATGAGGTTTAAAAACATGATGGCTAGTTGCATAAACCACTAAGACTATAGTCTTACAAGTTAGTCATCAATTTTTTTTCTTTGAATGTTCATAACTTTTTTAAGTCAACAACCATAGATTGGTCTAATATTTTGATGCAGAAAAGTAAGACTGACTTCCCCATGACTAACTTCTAGTGGGTCATGCTAGATCTTAAGACTATCTTAACATAATGGCTATCCCTGCGTCTCTCAATGTCCATACTATCCGTCCTAAATAGTATGAGATTAAAATAAGTGTGTCCCAAAGCATAGTATGTTGAAAAGAGTGTGTCAGAAGTCCCCGGATGGTCTACTATTTCCGGTGGATTTTCGAAGTGTGGATCTGTGCTAATATTGCACACAACCCATTGCGCTTTGGAGGAGGAACTACAAACACGAGTAGAAAGTGTTAAAAAAAACTACAAAACATGGCGGAGATGCGCGACCGACGGTGAGAGGTTTAGATAAAGGTTTGAGTGACTAATCAAAGTTTGACCTAATAAAAAAAATATTAATTTAATGTTATCCGTGTTATATTTCATCTGCAATAACAATGTGGACTTTTATAAAGATCCGTTTGGCCATTAACTTTTAAATGCATCATTATGCATTAATATGAGGAGAGTCTCCGCATGAAAGACCTGCAACTAGTGCTTCTGCATTTCTCTCGGATATGGTAGGAAATTAAATTAAATGAAATGTGGAGGATTTTAACGGTGACAAGATGATTGACAGGCCAGTTTACTGTGACAGGAGAGCAACTGTTAAAGACACAATTGTATGATGTGATAGTATGTCCTAAAGCTTGTGTACTCTTTTGCTACACAATCAAATGTATCTTCTTTTTCCTCACAAAATGAGTACATACTTTTAGGGCGTAGTATAAGTAGGCGAATTGAGACACAGCATATGTTTATGCACCTTATAAAAGTGAATTTTGTATAATAGGTCCCTCCCCCCTTTAACACATTTTTTCCCTTACTATTTGCCAAGTATGTCTCCTTGTCCTTAAGTGCCTAATGACTTGATTTGTGTTTCCAAACAGGACGCACATGGAGACCTCAGAGAGTGACTCTGCTAGCAGCAGCAACACCGAGGTTAATCACGCCGAGACCGTTTGCAAAACCCTCTTTGAAACTCTGGAGTCTGAGTCTGATTTTGATCTGCAACTATGCAAGAAAGATATTGAACAACTTTTGACTACCAATCCAAATGTCTTTAAACACTGTAAACTTGAAATAGAAAGACACGACCAGGCGTGTGCCAGGCCTCTTGATGAACCAATGCTCTCTATCAAAATCTATGGAAGAGAAAATGTGGGCAGATCTTTTCCTGGAGATGAAGTCTGTGTAGAGATCTTGAGCAGAGAAATGTGTCCGCGGCAAGGTAAAGTGATAAAAGGGAGGGTCGTTGGATTAATAAATAGAAATGAAAACTCATTAAGCTTCATCTGTAAGATGGTGGAAGACAATCCTGCATATGTTATACCCATTAACAAATGCATGACCATAATACGTACAGTTCAAAAGAAGGACATGGGCAAAATTGAAGTACGACACTACAATAGCGTACGCTGGGTTAGAAAGGAGTTTGTAGACATAGCTGAGAATCAATTGTTAGTTGTCAAGGTTTTAAAATGGGACAATCTGAAAACATTCCCTCTTGGTGTGGTTACAAAAGTAATTCCAGTGAGTAGTGCGTTGCGTGAAATGCTATGCATTGAACTTGGCTCTAAAGACACACCACCACCATTCAAACTACAAGAACCTGAAGATGATGAGGCTTTAGAAAGGGAGGATTTGTGTGACATTATCACTTTCACCATTGACCCAACTACAGCTGAGGACCTGGATGACGGCTTTAGCGTGACTGAGCTTCAACCGGGTGATTCCTACCAGATTGGTGTTCACATCACAGACGTCGCAAGTTACATCACCAAAGATAGCGAGCACGACAAATTCGCTAGAGAGCGCGGCAGAACAATTTACACTTCAGAGAAGGAAGACGTGGGCTTCATGTTCTCAAGAGATCTGAGCAATGACTACTTGAGTTTGACGCCAAGTAAACCTCGGAAAGCCATATCCTTGCTGATAGACGTTGACAAGAAAACGAGCGTAATACTAAACAGCCGGTTTGCTCTAACCCGCATTAAGTCTGACAGACGGATGTCGTATGAAGAGGCAGACCAAATTATTGAGAAGTACCTCTACTCGGATGACACAAAGCCTCTGCGGGTCTCATGTGTGGAGGATTGTGTAGCTATTGCTTACCGTTTCTCCGAGGTGCACCGAAAATGCAGACTGGAAGGCGAATGGCCATATGGGAGGCGGGCAGGGCAAGGTTACTCTCACCCCATGGTGGAGGAACTAATGAATCTCTACAATAGTGCCGCCGCTGAAGAACTCATATCTACAGACGTCACACAAGATCTCACACCACTGAGGTGCCAACGCGAGCCGGACCCAGAAAAACTGAAACAGTTTAGAGAGAAATACATGAACCTAATTCCCATGTCACTTTACTTTTCAAATATCTGCGAAGTAGATAGTGAAAATAGTGCAGAGGATGTTTGGTCCAATGCAGAATGTGACAATATGGAGCATGCAGGAATATCATTGAACATTTTCACCTCCATATTTCACAAGATGGAAGCGTTTGCACAGAGAAAAGACTACTATAATCTGATGCAGTTGATTTTTTCAGATGAAATCCATCCGACATTTATCCCGATGGTGCGGGAGTTTCGTGAGATTCAGAAGAAAGCCTTCATACTTCGCTCGTGCTCCTCGGTAGATTCCAGGTTGGGCCACTATGATTTACAGCTTAACGCATACACCTGGGCGTCATCTCCTATGAGGCGTTATCTGGACCTCATCTTGCAGAGACTTCTGCACACTGTGCTCTCTAAGAAAATCCTTATGCAAACTGACTACACGCAAGTTGAAATCAACAGGTTTTGTCAGTCTGGAATGGATGCAGAAGAGGAGGATGCCCAGCTGTTGAGACTGATAAATGTTCAGTTTGAACCCAAAGATGTGGTCAAGCTCGCAGTAGTGGACCAGATCACTCCGCAGGGGCATGAATTCACAATATCGTTCCCTCTGCATCCTATGTTAGCGGTGATTACTATCATGTACAAGCATCTCAAAGTTGTGGATCAGCCAAGATACAATGAGGACGAGAACTCCATGACTCTTCATTGGAAGAGGAGAGTGTATTCGTTCAGCAAATCATTCAAGACTTCAGACCCTTCAAAGCCCATGAAGAATGTGACTCCAGTGTCAAGTATACTGTGGAAAAGACTGGGATCTGCCGTAAAACAGCAGGATTGGGTTAAGACCGAGCAATGCCTCCGAGACATGAAAAGAGGGGAGAATGAGAATGAAGAAAATAAAAGGGTGGAAAGTGAGGCTAGTTCAGTGGAGCAACAACACTATAAGAAACAAACTATGGAGTTGGAGTTAGGCACGGTTGTTCAGGTGCAACTTGGGCCCGAACTTAAAGATGGCTTACCAGTTCCTGTAGTTCTGCTGCTCAGCATTAATGAATGCTTTGAGATCTGTTTGGAGCACACGAGAAACCCCACTGTGTGCTTCTCAAAACCGGACTGCATTGCGTCTAAGACTATCTATAACAACTACAAGGAGTACCAGGAAATCTGGATACGACTATGCCAGATAGACACCGCTTACAATGCTTTGGAAGAAAACAATAATGTCATCTTAGAGGATGTGCGGATAAAATGGAGCGGGGATGAAACAAATCTCCAAGGGTCTTTTTATATAACCAAGACTCAAAAAAAGGAATGGTCTCTGGAGTTTGACCTTAGGAACTGCTTCTTGTGCATCAGACTAAGACACCAGAAACCACAGAACGATAACGCAAAACAGTCGCATGGTTCTGCAGTTTCAGATCTGCAGGGTTCCCTGCCTTTCACATGGGTTGCACACGCAGTAACCAGCAAACCAAAGAAACAGAAGGCTACAGACAATAACGACCGGATTCATTTTCAGATCACACAAAGATCTATGAGTTACATCCCACCCGAGGTTAATGCCGAGGGAACCAAATTCACCATTGAGGTCATTCCCAAAAAAATTCCATTTGTGTGAGTGATCATTCATCCAGCTGATATATTACAGATTTATTCACAAATATATACATGTTTTGTAACGAATGCAATATTTTTTGCAGGCTCAGGGAACAAGCGATTGCAGACCTAAAACTGGCTAATAACCTGGTGAAAAATGTCGCCACTAGACAGCACCTTGAAGAACTGAATGATGGTGAGTGAAGCAAAATGGCAACTTTATTCAAAGCAGATGGTTTAATGCAAATCATATCCATCTATGTAGTACAAAGGTCTCAAGCTATTTGCGATTGAAATTCAAAAATGATTAGCCAGACAATTAAAACATGAGTCCTTGCAGCCGAACAAATGCATGCCTGAGGAAAACAGGGGGTCTAAAGTCACTAGTCGTAACTGTTCCCATAAGTTACACCATTTTCTAATGGTGAATTAAATTATGTAAGAGGACATTTTATTGTACACTATGAAGCACCGGTGTCCAAAGTCTGCCGTCTGGTGATGCATTTCAAACTTGTCTATTAAAATATATGAATGTGGCCCGCCACGCATAATATATAAATCATGCAATTTCACGATCAACACACGGTCACAGCACTAGATTTTAGGCCTGGGGCTCCAGTGTCCACAAGCTGTGTACATCCATCCATCCAGCATTTAAATAAAATGGAAATGATCTGGCTGCGTCTGTGTTCTTTAATTTGCATAGATCATCCGCAGAATATCTCCCATCAGGGCTTTTCTGGGATTGCACTCTCATGCTAATTTTCATTTTTGTTAATTTATGAATATAGGCTATGCTTTCGTTTGATGTTAGATTGTGTTAGTTCTTAATGATGCTACATCATTGATTTTAACACAAATTAATTAGTATATGTAAAGATACACATACTTTAAAAGTATTGTTGATGTATTGTTGGTCTGAGTTCATGTTCACTGTTGTGTAATGGTAATGTATACACAACCTTATTGCAGTGTTTTACCGATACATTAAATAAGCAGCAATCCCATGATGCTTCCATAGATTAGACCACCCTAGAATCTCATGCACTTTTCCAACTAATCCTAAACTAACTCTCTTTACTAAATAGTAAGACATTGCCCTGTTTGTTCTTTCTCTGGCTCATGTCTTGAATGCATTGTCTGAGCAGCTGATAGTATGAGATGCGGTAGAAAGAAATGTTACGCAATTTACTCGGTTTGATTTTCTAATGACAAACTGATGCGAGTGCTAAACGATGAGTGACAGAACTAGGCTGTGTCCGAATCGCCCCCTATATCCTTAAAAATGGCACTGTTTGAGGGGACAGCCATTTCTAGTGGTGTCCGAAACCGTAGTGGATGTTATTAAGTGCACTCATTCATTCCCATAATGCACCGCAATAACGAGCTAGAGAATGCCCTTGACTAATATTTTTTCCTCCAAGCGAATTCTTGAGAATTTGTTTTGTAGACAAATATAAATGGCATTGCAATATTCTGCCTACATGTGAATTTCTTATACAAAAACTACAATTAATAAAAAAAAATGGATGAGTTTGGCAAGAATAAAAAGCATAAAATACATGCACTTGGTGCTTTTGAGACGTTCATCTGTCCTGGATGTAGTAGAAATTAATTCTGATGCCAGATGTTGAAGACTTTCTGTACATTTGTAATGGGGACACCTTGAATAAACTATTTCCATGCCTTGTCTATGAATATCTCATGTATGTGTTAACGTGGTCAAAACCTTCTTGTGTTGAATTAGATGCTGATGTAGAAAATTTCGACTTGTACGATGTGGACGAGAGCCTGAACCTGCCAGTTCTGAATAAGAGCCAGCAGAAAGCTGTTGAGGAAGCTATGAAGAAACCTTTCACTGTGATTCAAGGCCCACCAGGTATTAAAATACTCTACAACGTGTGTCCTCCAGTATTTCTGTCGTATATTTGAAATGGCAAATCATGAACAATTCAATCTAAACGATTCATTCATTCTGAGTCGGTTATTTCCCCCAAAGGGGTTTGCAGTTCACTGAATCGTTTGGAAGTTGGTACGGTTTCTCAGTCAGTATCAGTAGTCAATACAGTGCTGAATAAAGTGGATATGTACAATCACTTGAAGTAAAAATCTGCTTTTATTTGAGAAACTTCAACTGCTGTATCGTGTAAATAAGGTGCATTCACACTTAAAGTGTTTGTGTGTGTGCTGCACTTTTTAAAAATGGTTTTCAAATTGATGTTTTTGACGACTGCACCTCGTTCACTGTTTTTACTCTTCAAACAGGAGTTACTCTTCTAATGCCGAGTGAAATTGAAAAGAACTTAGTTAAAAACGTGCATCGAAACAAATTTGATCTATACTTCTATTGGTGATCCGTTGTGTTGCATCTTGCATTATTTGGATATAGCCAACACTGAATGCTACTGTACATGTACAGTACTCAAGAAAATGAAAGATGCTTATCTCAGGTGTAAATTCACCATTTTGGTGCTTATTTATTTATTTTGAAATATAAATCTCCAGGAACAGCAATGCCCTGAATCTCCCCTACACAATATTACAGGGTACATTTCTTTAGTTTGTTGGAAAAACATTTCAGTATTAAGGAATTCTGCATTTTATATTGTCATCTTTTGTTGCAAATTGTCTGAATCGATATTTGATTTCACCATTGCAGACTCATTTTGTTCCTAAATGATGTGAGTTGTGTTTACACTAACATTATTGCTCATATTTGAGGGTTAGCAATTGTATGTCTAAGTGTTTTTATATGGACATGAATGAATGAATCAATAAATCCAATGTCATGGCAGTAGTCATATACAACTCTAAAATATATCATTTCTAATGGACTGATTTGCAGTCTTGACAAAGAAGGTGAAAAATGCAAACGAATTTTTTTGGAAAATGCTGAATCCGTGTCATGTTTTCATCTACAGGGACAGGGAAAACAGTGGTTGGTATTCACATTGTTTACCAGTTTTTCATGAAGAACAAAGACTTTCTGGCCACTTCTGAATCCTCCAAATCAACCCCTGATCAGAAACCCCCCAAAAAGCCTGCTATCCTGTACTGTGGACCTTCGAACAAGTCTGTGGACATTGTTGCAGGTGAATTGTGTATGCTGGTCTTTTTTATATATATAGATAGCAGACCCTAGTCTGATTACAAATACAAATCTAGCTCTAGAGTTTTTATAAGGGAGCCAGAAAAACATACAGTATGCAAGTGTGCAAATGCAAATGTTTGGGAATGATAGCATTACAGTCGTGCCAGTGATTGTGGTGTTATTCAGGTTGCTAGCTATAAACGTCGACAATTGTTGAATGTGTGCTGTATTTACTAAAAGAGAAAACTGAGCATGAAAAGAGACAGTTTACTTTCATGAATTGGATTCTGGCTCTTTTCAGGATGCAATGGCGAATCAAATCAAACTTGTGTGAAGCATTGGCATTCACTTGCTAGAGTGGTAGAGTATGTTTCAGGCTCTATTTTACTTGTTAAACGGTGTGTACTCACATTACCCATTGATCTTGTGTCCCAGAGCAGCTGCTAAAACTCAGGGGAGTCCTAAAGCCTCTGAGAATCTACTGTGATCAGATGGAAATGCGTGAATTTCCATATCTGGGCAGTGACCTGAAGCTTTGCCGCAGATCCCTCCGTGATGACAAACCGAACGAGGAGCTCAGGTAAGATCTTCCTGTAAAGGAAGCATAAAAGTTGGACAAAAATGGGAGTGAAAAAACAAGACAATGCAAGCATGTACAGGGTGAAAAGCAACGGTCCTAGTACTGAGCCTTGAGGTACTCCATACTGAACTTGTGATTAATTTACTACTACAAATTGGTAACGTTCAGATATGTACAATTTGAACCATGCCAATGCAATTCCAATAATGCCAATGTAATTTCGAGTCTATTTAAAAGAATGTTGTGGTCAATTAATATCAAATGCTGTGCTAAGATCAAGTAACACTAATATGGAGATACAATCACGATCAGATGATAAATGCAAATCATTTGTAACTCTGATGAGAGGAGTCTCAGTACTATGATATGGTCTAAATCCTGACTGGAAGTCTGCAGACAATGATAATAGTAGTATAATATAGTGTTGTCACATGACCGTGTCACATGATGTGTACGTGGGGCACTTTACAACAGGTGGTGTGTGAATAAACCCATTCAACTTCTAATTCTGTTGCAGGGATATTAATCTGATGTACCTCGTCCGTGAACCTGACAATCCTTTTTCAAAAAAAATTAAAACCTTGGAAGAGAGCTTAACAGAGGATGAAATAGATGCGTGAGTAAGACTAAAGTTTACATAAATGCCTGTGATGTTGGTAAAGAGTATGCTTTCTTTCAGTGGGTGTAAGTTTAGTACACTGTTCTTGTATTTATTTACTGCCACCATGAGGCCATTTAAAAAAATACTCCAGTGAAATAAAATCTAGTAATATTAATTAATGAATTAATCTGTAGGATGGCAAGTCATGATTACTCAAATGTGAAACAGAGGTAAGATATTATGTGATTAAAAGCTGTGTCAGGCACAATGTTCAGTGGGAAAATATAGAAGATATAAAGTCACTAGAAAATACAGTCCCAGTCATATAAAATAAAATATGGTTAGAACACAATTTAACATTCAGAATAGAAATTGTTATGTTATATGTGGTGTTTTGTGTTATCTTTTCACAAGCTTCCATTTCTAGGCATGCTATCTAGCATCTCAACGACGATAAACTTTCATGTTAAGTAAAGGTTTTCTTAACTTTTTGGTGCAGGTTTGAATGGCAAGTGTATGTCAACAATATCTTAATAGTCCAGTGTTACTCAATCCTGGAAGCATGAAGATAGAATAATAAGATAGAATCAGATGTGTCTAATAAGGGAAAATGTGTTGTGTAGTGGAATTAAGAAACTTTGGTGATTTAATAAAAAAAAAAAATTCCTGTGAATTTGGATGGACCAAACAAATCCGTTTGCGTATGTGTTGTTGTACACAAATATGCATGACTAACAAAATGCGTCTACAGGTACAGGAAAATGTTGAAGGAAGCTCATCAGCATGAGATCAGGAAGTGTGATGTAGTTCTGTGCACCTGCGCTTCAGCACTGAAACCCGAGATCCGGGAGGTCATGGATTTCCGGCAGATACTCATTGATGAATGTGCCATGGCGACAGAGCCAGAGGCCTTCATCCCTTTAGTTTCCTACAAACCACAGCAGGTGAGCTCGGGAATTACATCATCATCATCATCATCGGTTTCTGTTTTAATAATAATAATAATAATAATAATAATAATAATACATTTTATTTAAAAAGGCGCCTTTCTGACACTCAAGGTAACCGTACAGGCATACATGAAAAGTAATACAATAAACAAATAATAAAGTTATACCAAAAGTTGATTAAAATCAATTTAAAATCAAGTAAAATTGCAGATGAATGGGTGCTACAACGAATAGGCTTGTTTAAACAGAAAGGTTTTAAGTCCAGTTTTGAAATGAGGGAAAGAATCCATGTTTTTGAGATGAAGTGGAAGGGAATTCCAAAGGCGGGGAGCAGAACGGCTGAATGCTCTGCTCCCCATTGTGGTGAAACGGGCAGGTGGGACAGACAGATGTAATGTGGTGGAGGATCTGAGAAAACGAGATGGAGTGGAAACATGTAGGAGATCAGACAAATAGGGGGGAGAGAGGTTATGGATGGCTTTGAATGTCAGCAAGAGGACCTTGAACTGAATACAGAACTGGATAGGGAGCCAGTGAAGCTGCTGGAGGACTGGAGTGATGTGATGGATGAAGAGGGGTTTGAGTAATGATTCGGGCAGCAGAATTTTGGACTAGTTGAAGTTTACGGAGGGATTTGTGAGGGAGGCCCAAAAGAAGTGTATTACAGTAGTCTAGGCGGGAGGTGACAAGGCTGTGGACCAGAATGGCAGCAGTGTGGGGGTGAGGGAGGGGCGAAGACAATTAATGTTACGTAAGTGGAAGTAGGCTGACCGGGTGATGTTATTGATGTGTGGTTAGAATGATAGTGTGCTGTCAAGGATGACACCCAGACTCTTAACCTGGGAAGGTGAGATGGAGGAATTATCAATTTTGATGGAGAAACTGTTAGTTTTGGCTAATGTGGATTTGGTACCAATGAGGAGAACCTCGGTTTTACCACTGTTAAGTTTAAGAAAGTTGAGAGTAAGCCAGGATTTTATTTCTGCAATGCAATCAGTGAAGGTAGTGAATGGAAGAGTGGATGTGGGTTTTGTTTCAGTGAAAATTAACATTGAATTTACGGAGAATATTTCCAAGGGGAAGCAGGTAGATAATAAAAAAGAAGGGGCCCCAGGACAGAGCCCAGGGGCACACCTGTAGTGACGGGAGAGGAAGTGGATTTGAATGACTTAAAGGATGATTCCGGTATTTAACACTTTGAGTCTATTTTGTAGTTTGTTTTGGATGAACTAGAGTGGTGGACTAAGAAATTTTGACGATGGGTCCTGTCTCGACTTTTTGACTATTTTAGAATCGCCTCTGAGTGCTTCAGAGTGGATGTCTATGGGCATGCTCAAACATGTCCTTAAAACAACCCTTAACGTTCGTTTTCAAAACTGTGCAACTCACCGAGTGGTTAGTGGTGTTCGTTGATGTTCCAAAACAAGTGACAAACTAGTGAGTGGAAGAGTGGATGTGGGTTTTGTGGTGAGGTAAAGCTGGATGTCATCCGCGTAGCAGTGAAAATTAACATTGAATTTACGGAGAATATTTCCAAGGGGAAGCAGGTAGATAATAAAAAGAAGGGGCCGCAGGACAGAGCCCAGGGGCACACCTGTAGTGACGGGAGAGGAAGTGGATTTGAATGACTTAAGCTGGATGAACTGAGTGCGGCCAGAGAGGTAGGATGTGAGCCAGTTTAGTGAAGTGTGGGTATACCAATGGATGACAATCTTTTGAGGAGGGTGATATGACAGATGGTGTCAAAGGCCGCACTCAGGTCAAGGAGGATGAGGATAGTGAGTAGTCCAGAGTCAGCTGCCATGAGAAAGTCATTGGTGATTTTTATTTGTGCTGTTTCTGTGCTGTGGAGTGGGCGGAAACCAGACTTTAAACAAAACAAAAGACACAAAAGACTCTGGCAGGTGGAGAAGACTTGTGATTTGCAACATGTTGTCTCTAATTCTGTCCAAAATCGCCCCATTCCCTAAAAAAAGTGCAAAAAAGATTTCATTCCCTATATATTTTTCGAATTATTATTATTATGCACGATGCATTTTGATTTATAGTTTCCTGTCTATTTCAGATGCACAAATATTAACATGTCTTTCTTGACTCGGACAAGATTGGATTGTAAATGCAAAATAACTGTTTTTATTTCCGAGATTCAAGAGTTAAACATGCATATAATGAGGTTATCTGACAACAATGCAGAATACTACAAATTGTAATATTTTACCATGCATAATGCTTTTTTAAACAATATTTTTAAAACTAGTTGGCAGTAAACATTATATACTAGGGGTGTAACAATATCGTGTCACAATATATCGCGATACAAAAATGCAACAATATGTATTGTGCATAGTTCATCCAAAATAAAAATTACTGTGTGAGAAAAAAAAAAATCAAGTTTACAGAGTTTTAGTGTCAGTACTACATTAAACTACTATATATAATGTTAAATATAATAGGGGAATATTTGTGGGTCCTGATAATGCCGAATGTCTTATGCTACCAGTAAAAAGTGGCCTACATTATTTTAAATACATCTAGTCAGTGAAAGAGTACAAGCATATTCGTTTAAAATAATTCTGTATTTTCAGCTTCTGAATCATGAATATTTTTATTCGGGTGTCACTATTGTCCTGTGCATTGGGTTTCCAGCACTAAGCCTATTCATTTACACCCACAGTAATATCAAATTTAGCATTTTAATCAACAGTACATATTTAGTATCACAATAATATCGCATAATATCGTGATGTGTATGGAATCATTACAGCTCCCTATTATATACTACGCATTTTTAGTAATTCTCAGCGTATAGCCACAATCATATGCATCTTCACATCGAATGAAAATCTCTGGTTTCCTTTACAGATTGTTTTGCTGGGTGACCACAAACAGATTCGGCCGATAGTGCAGTGTGCCCTAGTGAAAAAGATGGGCATGAGGCAGTCTCTGTTTGAACGCTACATGGATCTGGCCATAATGTTGGACACTCAGTACAGAATGGTAGGAAACAATCAACAGAATCTGAACAATCGTTTTCATTTTGCTTTGATGTTTAACAAATGCACATGTGTGTTAGAAAGAAGAAATTTGCAGGTTTCCTTCAGAAGAGTTTTATGATGGCAAACTGAAAACAAGAGCTGAACGAGGACCCCCCGTCCTTCTTAACAAGAGAGGACTGCCGACGCCCATCTTGTTTGGCCACGTCCAAGGAGAAGAAGTCAGTTTAGTGGTGTCTACAAAAAAGGGCAACGAGAACTCAATGGCCAACACTGAGGAGGCAGAGCAGGCTGTGAGTCCAACACCGCCTTCAGTTCACGAGCGCTTAAGAAAAACCACAGCAATGTCAGAATTCTCCAATAGGAATTTCATTAAGCTCCTCCTCGTGTGTTGATTAATGAATCATGAAGAAAGCAAGTTGATATTGATCCTAAGTTAGTTAAAGGCAGGGTAGGCGATTTGTTCCAGAAACATTTTTTGTTATGCTGGTTGAAAGTCATTAAAGGGTTAGTTCACCCAAAAATGAAAATATTTGTGTTTTCCAGGTTGATGTGGCAGATCTGTTGATCAAAGCACACGTGCCACCTCAGAATATTGCAATTCTGACCCCTTACAACGCACAGATGTCAGAGATCAAAAAGACAATGCAGAAGAGAGATATTACAAATGTCACCGTTTGCACAATTATGAAGAGCCAAGGTGTGTTATTCTGATTGCATCAATCGAGTTTTCAATTCAATTCTGCATGAATTTATGCTCAGTCTCTGAATTGAATTGAATTTTTTTTTAAATTCATCGATAGCTTTGATTTTATTATCTTACTGTTTATTTTTAATTGTTTTCCTTTTCTCTGTGTAAGCGCCTTTGGTAAAGCTCGCTTTAAAGGCACTATATAAAATAAAGTTATTATTATGTGGGGGATAATGTAGGACATTCAAGACTCGCTGTCTTTCCCCTTTTTGTTTCTGAGATTAACGAGTGTCATTAAAAAACCCAAACTGAACCCTTTAAAGGGTTAGTTCACCCAAAAATGAAAATGATGTCATTAATGACTCGCCCTCATGTCGTCCCAAGCCCGTAAGACCTCCGTTCATCTTCGGGACACAGTTTAAGATATTTTAGATTTAGTCCGAGAGCTTTCTGTCCCTCCATTGGAAATGTATGTACGACATGAGGGCGAGTCATTAATGACATCATTTTCATTTTTGGGTGAACTAACGCTTTAAGTGTAAACCGCTGTGTGTGTGCAGGAAGCGAGTGGCCGTATGTGATCCTCTCCACTGTTCGCTCCTGCCCCGTGTCTGACATAGAAAGCTACACACCAAGTAATGTCTGGCTAGGGAAAAGACTCGGATTCATCACTGATCCAAATCAGGTCAATGTTGCCATAACTCGTGCACAGGATGGACTGTGCATTCTGGGTAAGCAGTGAAGAATACATAAAGTGATGACAAATTTTGTTTAAAAAAATTGTTGTTTACACTTTATTTTAATGTGTAAGTACAGAGTAATATTAATTAACAGCATGTACTTAGTGTAGGGTTAGGGTTTGGCTGAGTTGCATTTCTACCAGTCAAACGTTTTGGATCGGTAAGATTTTTAATGTTTTTATAAGAAGTCTCTTCTGCTCACCATGGCTGCATTTATTTGATTAAAAATACAAATAAAACCAGTAATATTGTGAAATATTATTACAAGTTAAATCAACTGTTTTCTATGTGAATATATAGTGATGTGTAATTTATTCCTGTGATCAAAGCTGTATTTTCAGCATCATTACTCCAGTCTTCAGAGTCACATGATCCTTCAGGAATCAGTCTAATATGATGATTTGCTGCACAAGAAACATTTATTATTATTATCGATGTTGAAAACAGTTATTTATCTGAAATAGAAAGCTTTTCGAACACTAAACACTACCGTTGAAACGTTTGGGGTCAGTAAGAAGTTTTTTTTGGTGAAAGAAATAAAAGAAATCAATACTTTGATTTATCAAGGATGAATTAAATTGATCAAAAGTTACAGTGAAGACATTTATAATGTTACACAAGATTCAATTTCTTTCTATTCATCAAAAAATCCTGAAATAAAAATGTAAATAACTGTTTTCAACATTGATAATATGTGATGATTGAGCATCGAATCATCATATTAGAGTGATTTCTGAAGGATCATGTGACACTGAAGACTGGAGTAATGATGCTGAAAATACAGCTTTGATCACAGGAATAAATTACATTTTAAAATATATTAAAATAGAAAACAGTTAGGCTATTTTAAATTGTCATAATATTTAACATTAATGTTGTTTTTTTTATCAAATAAATGCAGCCTTGGTGAGCAGAAGAGACTTCTTTAAAAGAAAACATTAAAAATCTTACCGATTCAAAACTTTTGATTTATAGTGTCTATTGTAAGTACAGAGTAATATTAATTAACAGCATGTACTTTCTATAGGGTTAGGGTTTGGTTTAGGGTTAGTTGCATGTAATTATGCATAATTTACTGTTAATACTATGGTAAACACATGTAACAAGGACACTGTAAAATAAAGTGTAACCAAATTGTTTTATAATTTCAAATTATATTTTATTAACTTTCAAATTTCATTTTGTGTATATGTTGAAAAGTGTGCCTGTGCTGTTTTCGTTTAAAGCCAATGCCAGTTGGTTTTGTATTTTGTTATGTAATGCAATGACTTTCAGTATTGTTTTGTGGCTGAAGTGTCCACATGTAGGCCTATTTGTGGCCTGTGTGTACAAGTGGTCACTGTATTGTCTGTATCTTTTACATTCACGCACACAAATCTATATATATAGCCGATTGCTCATGTAATATCCCCATTTCTGTTATCTCTTAGGTAACAGTGAGCTGTTGAGATGCTGTAAACTTTGGGAGAGACTCCTGGATCACTATAACAAACAGAGCTGTGTGGTGAATCCAGCGAGTGACATCCAGGTCAAAGCGCTGCCGAAAAGAAGACGGAAACAGAAAAACCTCTGAGTGTCATGGCAGGGGATAAAGTATGGAAGCTTTTTTCCGCCACTGAATAAAAAAATAATAATAATAATTGCGACTTTTTATCTCACAATTGCGAGATATGAAGTCAGAATTGTGAGAAATAAAGTCGCAATTGCGAGATATAAAGTCGCAATTCTGATAAATAAAGTTGCAATTGCGAGATATAAAGTCGCAATTCTGAGAAATAAAGTCGCAATTGCAAGATATACACTCACCAGCCACTTTATTAGGTACCCCATGCTAGTAACGGGTTGGACCCCCTTTTGCCTTCAGAACTGCCTCAATTCTTCGTGGCATAGATTCAACAAGGTGCTGGAAGCATTCCTCAGGGAGTTTGGTCCATATTGACATGATGGCATCACACAGTTGCCGCAGATTTGTCGGCTGCACATCCATGATGCGAATCTCCCGTTCCACCACATCCCAAAGATGCTCTATTGGGTTGAGATCTGGTGACTGTGGAGGCCATTTTAGTACAGTGAACTCATTGTCATGTTCAAGAAACCAATTTGAAATGATTCCAGCTTTATGACATGGCGCATTATCCTGCTGAAAGTAGCCATCAGAAGTTGGGTACATTGTGGTCATAAAGGGATGGACATGGTCAGCAACAATACTCAGGTAGGCTGTGGCGTTGCAACGATGCTCAATTGGTACCAAGGGGCCCAAAGAGTGCCAAGAAAATATTCCCCACACCATGACACCACCACCACCAGCCTGAACCGTTGATACAAGGCAGGATGGATCCATGCTTTCATGTTGTAGACGCCAAATTCTGACCCTACCATCCGAATGTCGCAGCAGAAATCGAGACTCATCAGACCAGGCAACGTTTTTCCAATCTTCTATTGTCCAATTTCGATGAGCTTGTGCAAATTGTAGCCTCAGTTTCCTGTTCTTAGCTGAAAGGAGTGGCACCCGGTGGGGTCTTCTACTCCTGTAGCCCATCTGCCTCAAAGTTCGACGTACTGTGCGTTCAGAGATGCTCTTCTGCCCACCTTGGTTGTAACGGGTGGTTATTTGAGTCACTGTTGCCCTTCTATCAGCTCGAACCAGTCTGGCCATTCTCCTCTGACCTCTGGCATCAACAAGGCATTTCCGCCCACAGAACTGCCGCTCACTGGATGTTTTTTCTTTTTCTGACCATTCTCTGTAAACCCTAGAGATGGTTGTGCGTGAAAATCCCAGTAGATTAGCAGTTTCTGAAATACTCAAGACCAGCCCTTCTGGCACCAACAATCATGCCACGTTCAAAGTCACTCAAATCACCTTTCTTCCCCATACTGATGCTCGGTTTGAACTCCAGGAGATTGTCTTGACCATGTCTACATGCCTAAATGCACTGAGTTTCCGCCATGTGATTGGCTGCTTAGAAATTAAGTGTTAACGAGCAGTTGGACAGGTGTACCTAATAAAGTGGCCGGTGAGTGTATAGTCGCAATTCTGAGAAATAAAGTCGCAATTGCGAGATATAAAGACTCTCACAATTCTGACTTTTTTTCTCACAATTGCGAGTTTACATCTCGCAATTTTGACTTTATAACACATAATTGCGAGTTTACATCTCGAAATTCTGACATCTTTTCTCAGAATTGTGAGCTCGCAATTGCGAGTTATCAGGCCAATTCTAAGGGGGAAAAAAGACTAACTTTTTTCCCCTCAGAATAGTTTATATCTCACAATTCTGACTTTACAACACGCAATTGCGGCTTTATATCAATCAATTCTGACTTTATATCTCGCAAGTCTTTTTTATTTTTCATTCTGTGGCGGAAACAAGCTTCCATAATAAAGTGGATAAGGTCCTTAAAGGACAAAAATGGCAAAAAAAAACTGTCATAAAAAAAAAAGTCTCATTTTAAAGAAGACCCTCGCCCGAAGTTTAAAAACAAAAGTAAAAATATTTAATTTTTGTACATTATTTTATATTAAAAAAATATATATAATACAATATGTTGAACTTAAAACTGCTAGAAAATCAAAGCCATAAATCTAAACAAGTTGTGTTTCACATTTGAGCTTGACGTCTCCAAAGAATTTTCCCCATTAGATGCCAGTAAAATAATTTATCCAACTATAATATGCATAATAAGTAGAAAACAAGAAATAAAGCGAGTATTTGCTCACACCTATTACCCACTAACTTTTACATTCTTACAATTAAACTGTAGGAAATTGCATCAGCTGACCATAAATACGTAAAATAATAAAATACTAATGGATCAGGAGGGATCTGTGGAACATAATTCCTGTGAAATTCATAAGGTTAAATTTGAATAGAATTAGATCATTTTAAAATCTCAACCTCAAAATCCTTGTCAGGTCAATCATTTAACATGACTACAGAAAAAAAGTGCATTTCATATCATTTTATTTTTCTTTTATTTAAAAAACAGCTATTTTTGATGCTACGGTTATTTCATATTTTAATAAAAATTATGCAGACAATATAAAATATATCCTTAAAGGGACAGTTCACCCAAAAATGAAAATTCTTTTATAATTCACTCGCCTTCATGTTGTTCCAAAACTTCTATGTATGACTTAATAAACTTTTTATTTAAAATGTCATTTTTTCCTGTTTTTTGTTGTTGTTGTCAAAATCAGTGCTTTTGTCTTTCTTTGCCGACAGGCTTACCGTACGAGTGCACAGTGATAATAGCTAGATAAAAGCCACTTGAAAAGGATCATCTTTCTGTTTGTAGTTTCTCTGGAAATAAGAGGGAGTGTCACTATTCTTCAACACAGTGTGTGTGGTCACAGGGATTTGCTGGTTGCTGCAGTTTCATACTTTGTGTTGGCTACAAATCAATTGTGTTTCTGTATATCAGTCGGCCCTTCCAGATTCCCCGTGATAATTTCAGCGTCTCATTAAACACGAGTTCTGTTGAGTTGACTCTGTCGGGCGAGCATGTTATATTAAGAATGATATTTATGAAAAGAAATTCACATACAAGAAACAAAACAGTTTTAATCAGTTTAATATATATATATATAAATCTACATTTGGCAATTTGTCTATAGAGAAAATAAAAAAATAAAACCGTTATTTGTTCAGAAAAAAATATTGGCCTCGTTAAACAAGTAGGCTATAGGTATGAATATAGAAATAACTTCTTAACAGATTTCCTGACGACTACGTAACTTCAACAGAACAGCAGGTGTTGCTCTCCGGGGAGCTCGAGGTTAAAGGTCACTGGTATCCCGGAGGCTGGTAGCCCATATTGACGGCTTGAGTCGGCTGGTTGAAGGCTTGAGGCTGCTGGTGGATCGTGTGTACGGTGGAGTTGATGACCACCAGATTCTGTCGACGAGCCTTCAGCTCTCTGGCCATCTGACACCAGACACACACCGTGCAGCAGGTCACCGCGCAGCAGTCGTCCTGAATCGAACCCTTCATGAGAGAAAACACAATAAATCTAATGCAGTGTTTCTCAAACTTTTTCTGCCATTCCCCACTTTGAAGGTAGGGAAGGGTTCGTGCCCCACCTGCCCTCATGCAATCGCCCCAACAAAATGTTAATAAACTAGGCTTTAATGCAATTGTGTTTGTATTTTGCCTCTGATAACATCAAATTCCGAAACGGAGAAAATAAAAGTGTGGACTAGTTGTGCTTTGCTTTACTATTTTTGTCCCTGCAAACTGCATGCAAAAAGAACAAACAAAATTGAAAAAAAATAAAATAATAATATCTCAGGGTTTTTCCTGGTTCAAAACGAGGCGGAGGTGGTAAAAACCTAATGTACGTATTTTAGGTATATTTTATAATAATAATTGTATTTTTCGAAGACTATCATATAAGCTTCTGTGTTTCTCACAGTATTTTGCGTGTGGTGTGGACCTCTGCACCCCTAGGGGGGTCCGGGGGCATGCTCCCCCGGAAAAAAAGTTAGTACGTTTTAAAGATAAATTCATAAATCTGGTGCACTTTGAAAGTTCAACATTAAGTGATTAACTAATTTAGTGTCTGCAATGAGCCTGTTTTGTAGTATGCTATATTTTCTGAGCCAGAGACAGAGAGCGCTCACCGCTTGACATCACAACTATTCAGTGTTTTCAACCACATAATGTTTATTTTAGGTTTCAGACATTTAAATTCACATAAGTACTAAAAAAGCAATACATTTAGAGTTTGTCAAATACACACTTTCTATGGAAGCGGCAATAATAATTATTTACATTATAATTAGACGACACGTATTATTCATATCAAATACACATCGTGTAAGTAACTTTCAAGTTTACTCTATGCTTCTCCCAGTTCACCGGCCACTTACTCTCATGTATTTCGGGAGAAGTGGATAAATTGACGTGTTAAATCCAACAGATCCGATTCTCTAAAATCTGGCATAAACTAACGCCCATCGCGTATAGCTCAACTAAGGTGTTTAAACAACAAAACGCATGCTCATATTTGACAATCGGAATATCAGATATTTCCTGCTATAGCCAACAAATTTGTGAAGTAAAAGTAGATAATCAGTCATTGATTCAGCGCTATTGTGGCTGCGGTGTGACAAGCAATGACGCGTCACCAACGAAACCATAAAGGGATATGATCTAAATAACGGGCGCCTCTAAAAACTTTTAAACTTACGTGTGAAAAGGTTAAGTAAGGCTTACATTGAAATGTGTCGTTGTTTTGTTTTGAGTTTATGCTCAATAAATAGAGGAATTAATAGAGATGGGCACAAAAATTACCACATTTTCTCCCGTTTGTCGCGCCCCACTTGTCATGTTTCCATTCCCCACCAGTGGGGCGCGCCCCACACTTTGAGAAACGCTGATCTAATGTGACGTGAAACTGAGGCCTTGTTTACTCCTGGTATTAAGATGAGTTTGGGTCGATCGGATCACAAGTGGACGAGGGAGACATATTCCCGTTTACTGGTGTTTTAATCCGTCTCTTCTGTCCACTTTCAACCACTTCTGTCCTGATTTCCTCGAGGGGAGGGTCTATGGGCGGGTAAATGTGTGGGTTTTTTTTCAGATCTTGTGATCTAATGGCAATTGCGCAATTTACAAATGAACACGACCGGAGATGATGGAAAAACACACAGAGAGCATCAGCTTTAGTTCTGCTCTGACAGTCACAACACCAGCCGAACGCTGTGAGTGTGTGTTAGAAATCAGGAATGGTGAGAGAACATTGTGCTTGGTACATTTTTCATCTTCAAACTAAACTTGGGTCTCCAGCCGACAAAGTTTAAATCTGTCTGTCTAGCCGCTTCCCATAATGTTGCGCATGAGGTCAGGAGACGGAGAGAAGACGGTCTTTTGTGGCTGTTTGAACACATTCGATCACATGAGCGTTTACACTGCGAAAGCAATCCGGTTTGGCAATAGCTTGATAAAGCTATTCAGTTTGTATTCCTTGAACTTGGAGAGAATGAGAATTTTTGAGGAATTTCCTTTTCGATTTATAGGTAAAATAAGGTCTTACTTGAAAAGACTTTCGTGTTTTGTTCTACAACACAAGATGTATTCAGTCAAACCTCAAATGTAAATTTTAAAGCCTGTGTTTTTTTTAAAAAGCACGTTTTTATATAAGTTGTTATATAAGCACTGCGACGTTTTTTTCCAATTCGTAACAAATAAAGTCACATCATTGTGGCAATTTAATACATTTTATAGTAGTTTTATTCATCAAAGAATCCCGATTTTTTTTAAATCACGGTTTCCATTAAGCAGCTCAATTGTTTTCAACATCGATAATAATCAGAAATGTTTCTTGAGCAGCAAATCACCATGTTAGAATGATTTCTGAAGGATCATTGTGATCGTCTGGGAGTAATGATGATGCTGGAAATTAATTTATATTAAACAGTAATAATTGTATTACAACATAGCAATTACCCTGATCTGGTATCTCTCTCTCATACTGCTCCTCATGGCGAATGTGATTGGATGCAAAATGCCTCCGAAGCAAATCTCCAGCATGGGGAGACAGAGACACTCTCCAAAGTTCTCACTGGTCTGACACATGAGGCAGTATGTGCACCATAAACCACAGCAACCTGCCACAGGAACACAGATGGCAAACACATAGAATTGGTTACGCTTTCGGTTCATACGAAATCTCAAGTCCTCAAACCCCAGACAGCAACATAGTGTCGGCCCATATCCGGCCCCCATGCGCCAACACTATGTTGTTGTCTGGGACGCAAATATATGTTTATTTTCATCATTCCTCACACACTAACATATGCTTAACTCTACAGTAGCCTATACTATTCCTCTCTCTCTCTCTCTCTCTCTCTCTCTCTCTCTCTCTCTCTCTCTCTCTCTCTCTCTCTCTCTCTCTCTCTCTCTCTCTCTCTCTCTCTCTCTCTCTCCACCGAACACTTACAGATGCCCATGTCGTCGCAGCAGTCACACACTCCTGTGCTCCACATGTTTTGCTTGAAGTTATCAGGGGCCAGAATCATGGCTGGCTGGACACTTACAGTTGAATGAGCCATGATTATCACTCCAGTGAGCTGGAAAAACACATGGAAAAATCCAGACAAGTGAGAATCAACAACTTGTCTTCAACGTACGCTTCTAATAAATACATATTCATAGATTGGTATTTATTTATAGAGGAATGTGTTTAAGCACATGTAGATTTATATTTTTAATGTTAATACTACTACTAATAATAATTAGTAGTATTAGTTGGGGAGCAGTAAGCAATAATTAAGGTACGAACAGCGGTGCTGTATGTGAATAATCGCGGATGAAGGGCGAGAATTGTAAGTTAAATTGACTTGTAAATACAACATTCAGCACGGTCTCTCGTACCCTTATTGCTTTTATAAAACGGTTACCACATAACACAAATATTTAAACCGAAAATATATTTATTATAATGTTCTCTTTTTAAAGTAAAATAAGTCAACCCCATCCTTCCGCCATAAAAAGTAGTCCCTCCCTCCCTAACAGTCACAGAAACGGCAAGAGTGTTCCTTATAATGCCTCAAATTTATTGTATATATATAATATATATATGAACTCTACATATGATTTTTCCTCACACACATACATATGCTTATCTCTCTGCATGTTAAAACGTTCGTTTCCGTCATGTAAATTAGTTTAAATCAGACCTGTTCACTGTACAGATTGAGTTCGTCTAAGAAGCGCCATTAACCAGTATTACTCGATGAACATACAGTACCATACCTGAAAAAGAAAACTTTAAAATTATATTCCCTCTGTACTTCAGAAACTGTGGGCTTTCTTCATTCGGTGGGGACGGTGGGTACTACGCGCAGACGCGGCCTTACCTATGTAAGTTTCACCCGTTTCAATAGAGGGTATGCGCATGACGTCACCGTCGGCCGGAGTGAATGCGGTCACGCCCACAAGTGGCAAAAAGACTGAGCGGCAGCATTTGTTTTCAGCGTGAATGCCGTGAAAACCACACAAAACACATCTAAAACGGGAAAGAGCTTTGCGATTGACTGTACAACTAGATTTGACCAGAAATCTGAGGTACTGTATATTTTTACAGACTGCAAAAAGCTACAGAACAGACTATATTCTGCATAATTGGATGTTTTTAAATAAACACTGACAAAAAACTATACAAGTTTTAGGGCTACACGATATGATGATATACAGTATAACATTAATGTAAGTGATCACTCAGATTTAGACCTATCTATATTGTATTTATATAAAACGTTTACAGGCAAATTGTCTTCATTTATTTCCCCGGCGTCGAAATCAGGCACATATAAATGTCAGGAAACACGATTCCTGGCTGCATGTCAATATCCATGGATCACTGGATCTTTGATAAGTTGTAAGGAACACTATATCGAGTCCAACTTTTAGTTTAAACTGATAATAGTTTGTTTTACTCGCGTTAACGCAGTTTCCCCTATTAACTCCAGTCACGCAGCAGCTCTTCTGCCACTCAGTCCCGCTGAGGGGGGCGTGTTCCGGCGGGGAAGTGACGTTAATGCATTCCCTCTATAGAGGGAAAACCTTGAGCTCAATTTAGCCATTCTGCTGCTGCGCAATACACGCTTCTCTGTTCATAACACATGAGAACCGTGGGGAGTCAAACCCTATTAACTCCAGCATCCGTCTAATCCTATACAGCGAGTACCCAGTCGACTACGGCATCCGTCTAATCCTATACAGCGAGTCTCCAGTCGACTACAGCATCCGTCTAATCCTATACTGCAAGTCTTCTGTCGACTATAGCATCCGTCTAATCCTATACAGCGAGTCTCCAGTCGACTACAGCATCCGTCTAATCCTATACAGCGAGTCTCCAGTCGACTACAGCATCCGTCTAATCCTATACAGCGAGTCTCCAGTCGACTACAGCATCCGTCTAATCCTATACAGCGAGTCTACAGTCGACTACAGCATCCGTCTAATCCTATACAGCGAGTCTCCAGTCGACTACAGCATCCGTCTAATCCTATACAGTGAGTCTCCAGTCGACAACAGCATCCGTCTAATCCTATACAGCGAGTCTCCAGTCGACTACAGCATTCGTCTAATCCTATACAGCGAGTCTCCTGTCGACTACAGCATCCGTCTAATCCTATACAGCGAGTCTCCTGTCGACTACAGCATCCGTCTAATCCTATACAGCGAGTCTCCAGTCGACAACAGCATCCGTCTAATCCTATACAGCGAGTCTCCAGTCGACTACAGCATCCGTCTAATCCTATACAGCGAGTCTCCAGTCGACTACAGCATTCGTCTAGTCCTATACAGCGAGTCTACAGTCGACTACAGCTTTCGTCTAATCCTATACAGCGAGTCTCCAGTCGACTACGGCATCCGTCTAATCCTATACAGCGAGTCTCCTGTCGACTACAGCATCCGTCTAATCCTATACAGCGAGTCTACAGTCGACTACAGCATCCATCTAATCCTATACAGTGAGTCTACAGTCGACTACAGCATCCGTCTAATCCTATACAGCGAGTCTCCAGTCGACTACGGCATCCGTCTAATCCTATACAGCGAGTCTCCTGTCGACTACAGCATCCGTCTAATCCTATACAGCGAGTCTACAGTCGACTACAGCATCCGTCTAATCCTATACAGCGAGTCTCCAGTCGACTACAGCATCCGTCTAATCCTATACAGCGAGTCTCCAGTCCACTACAGCATTCGTCTAATCCTATACAGCGAGTCTACAGTCGACTACAGCATCCGTCTAATCCTATACAGCGAGTCTCCCGTCGACTACAGCATTCGTCTAATCCTATACAGCGAGTCTCCAGTCGACTACAGCATCCGTCTAATCCTATACAGCGAGTCTCCTGTCGACTACAGCATCCGTCTAATCCTATACAGCGAGTCTACAGTCGACTACAGCATCCGTCTAATCCTATACAGCGAGTCTCCAGTCGACTACAGCATCCGTCTAATCCTATACAGCGAGTCTCCAGTCCACTACAGCATTCGTCTAATCCTATACAGCGAGTCTACAGTCGACTACAGCTTTCGTCTAATCCTATACAGCGAGTCTCCAGTCGACTACAGCATCCGTCTAATCCTATACAGCGAGTCTCCAGTCGACTACAGCATCCGTCTAATCCTATACAGCGAGTCTCCAGTCCACTACAGCATTCGTCTAATCCTATACAGCGAGTCTACAGTCGACTACAGCTTTCGTCTAATCCTATACAGCGAGTCTACAGTCGACTACAGCTTTCGTCTAATCCTATACAGCGAGTCTACAGTCGACTACAGCATCCGTCTAATCCTATACAGCGAGTCTCCAGTCGACTACAGCATCCATCTAATCCTATACAGCGAGTCTCCAGTCGACTACATCATCCGTCTAATCCTATACAGCGAGTCTCCAGTCGACTACAGCATCCATCTAATCCTATACAGTAGGCCTGTAGCGGCGCGTCGATGACGTCGACGCTTCGACGTCAAAAATTCGTCGACGTCATATTTTTTTGTCGACGCTTCTTTATTTATTTATGTATTTATTTTTTTGCACCGTTCCCGGCGGCACAGCTCGCCACACACACGTGGGAGACCGAAACATTGCAGAATCGAGGACGAAACAGCAACCTCTTCACAGAATTCACAACAAAGCCATGCAAAAGTCCCAACAAAAGAAAAAGTCCTAAAAAACCCCAGCTCGCACTAAATCATCGAAGGTATGGGAATACTTCAAATTTAGTCCCAAACGTAAAGGTGTCGTTATTTGCGCTCTTTGTCAAATGGAGTTGACATCCCAAGTCTCCCGCATAGTGATAGCGGCTCCCTGATGACCGCAAATTAGTTAAAATCTCCCGGAATCTAGAGCTCGCGAGCTCCAAACCGTGTAGCGCGCGCAGCGAGGGAGAGAGCGAGAGACCTTGCGCGTGTGTGTGCAAATGTGCGTGTGTGCCTTATAAAGCGCATGTAAACCCCACCCCCGTCAACAAAACCGAAAAATCAGTCCGGATGTTTTTTATGAGCACTGAAAACATTAAAATGAGCACCACATCCAAGTGTGATAGGGCTCATTTGAGTAGCCTACCAAACATTTTACAGTGTAGATACTCTGTAAGAACCAGATCAAAATTGTTGTGCATTGAATGTGCACTCCTGCAATTTCCATGTTACAAAAAAGAGTCGTTCAATTAGTCGTTAGATTAGTCGACTAATCGATAAAATAATCGACAGACTAATCGTTTAATTAATAATCGTTTACCCCAGCCCTACTATACAGCGAGTCTCCAGTCGACTACAGCATCCGTCTAATCCTATACAGCTAGTCTCCAGTCGACTACAGCATTCGTCCAATCCTATACAGCGAGTCTCCAGTCGACTACAGCATTCGTCTAATCCTATACAGCGAGTCTACAGTCGACTACAGCTTTCGTCTAATCCTATACAGTGAGTCTCCAGTCGACTACAGCATCCGTCTAATCCTATACAGCGAGTCTACAGTCGACTACAGCATCCGTCTAATCCTATACAGCGAGTCTCCTGTCGACTACAGCATCCATCTAATCCTATACAGCGAGTCTCCAGTCGACTACAGCATCCGTCTAATCCTATACAGCGAGTCTCCAGTCGACTACGGCATCCGTCTAATCCTATACAGCGAGTCTCCTGTCGACTATAGCATCCGTCTAATCCTATACAGCGAGTCTACAGTCGACTACAGCATCCGTCTAATCCTATACAGCGAGTCTTCTGTCGACTACAGCATACGTCTTATCCTATACAGCGAGTCTCCAGTCGACTACAGCATTCGTCTAATCCTATACAGCGAGTCTCCAGTCGACTACAGCATTCGTCTAATCCTATACAGCGAGTCTCCAGTCGACTACAGCATCCATCTAATCCTATACAGCGAGTCTCCAGTCGACTACAGCATTCGTCTTATCCTATACAGCGAGTCTCCTGTCGACTACAGCATTCGTCTAATCCTATACAGCGAGTCTCCAGTCGACTGCAGCATCCATCTAATCCTATACAGCGAGTCTCCAGTCGACTACAGCATCCGTCTAATCCT